ATTTACATGGCTGTGAACTACTTTATGGCTCCTTTCATGTAGCAGAGGCTTCCTCCCACTTTGAGAATGGCTTTGGCTTAGGTGAGGCTAAGATGTGTTACAGTGTTTACTTCAGGCAGGTGTAGCTAGGAACAAAATAATGTGACTGCACGTGGAATGATTTGCCTTATGGCATTTTATCATTGATGATAGTCCAAAAAGCTACAAAACAATCACTCCTCCTCAAAATTAAGGCGCTTCCAGTTATGGCTTCCCAGATCTTTTCAGGTACAATTCCTTCCTGGTTCTGTGAAATTATTATCAGCCTCTATTTTCAAAAGACAGGTGCCTGTGACAGATAGGTGAATATCTCCAGGAACCAAACTGAAACAATGGAAGGTAGGCACTTAAAAAACAAAAAAATCCCTCACAAAGTCCACCTCAATTGTTCAGTATCTAAATATTTTTCCAAATCTATGTCATGATCCCTAAACTCACTCGAGGAGATGCCTATGTGGTCATTGTCACAGTTGTACGGGTCCCTTTTGAAAGCTGGTGGGGACAGGAAGCCTCCTGTGCATCTCTCAACATCCCTGGCCTTTGGTTATTACTAAAAGGTTTCCAGCTGACCACAGTTCTCTTCAGCTCCTGTTTGATCTTCCATCATCATGAAACACCTGCTGTAAGGTCTTCTTCCCCTTTGGCCTCTGACTGATCACATCTATTTGAGTTTCTGATAGAGAGAATGCTTCTTTGTGCTTTAATGGGAGCAGTGAGGGATTCAACAAAGGACCTTCCTTCCACTTTTAGAAAGAACTTTCACCAAAACGTAACATTAAGACAAAAGCTAGAGAACTGCTTACCATCTCCTTCAATCACACGATTGCAATGGAAACATACATCACCAAACAGCTGAAGAGGAAGGAGAAGCAATGAATTTTTAATGTCATGATTTTATTGACAGTAATTTCTCAACTGCATTTCAATCGCTTTCCTGTTTATTTCTGTTTAAATAAAGGAGAACGATGGCAAGTCTGATTTTGGGTTTCAATTCAATCTTGCATCATCTGATCATCAAAAGTCTTTATAATATTAAAGATGAAAACATTTCCTTACATCTCCTTGACCCTCTACAAATATGGTTTTGTTTTGCTGTTTCCCTAATGCTGAACATTGGAAATTCAGCAATGAAGAGTCACACACACACTTTTAGTAACCATCCAGCTGAACATCTGTACATCCCTTCAACACACAGCTCCTGCCCGGTGTACCTTCTTGCTCTATCATGACTGCAGTGCTATTGCTAACAATGTCATGGCATTTATTGTCTGCAGGGATGCCAGCAGTATTTCAATCACCTGCCCTTCGTCACTGACAGATTTAGGATCCATCTGTAATTAGCAGATGCCTTACAACTCCCACCTGTAATCCTCCCTTATTTATCCAAGCAAAGATGTGTACGTGACACCTTGCACTTGGCTGCCACAGAAGAAAGGTCCATCCATTATGGTGCTCGACTGCACAATCAAGGGAGGCTGGAGGCAAACGGTGCAACTCCATGCATCTCTTCTTTAAATGCAAGTGGTCACTAGGTGGTGCCCTCTGACAAATTTTGCCTTTGTTGGTCTTCAGCAAGTGGATGACAGAGCTGCTTGATGCAGTCTATCTTAACACACAGTCAACTCAGAATTGCAGCTGTAAGGAAGGCCACCCTACACAAAGGCTTTGTGTTAAACCCCAGCTCCTGAGTGGCAAATGGTCTTTATGTTCTTGGGAAAACCTGAGTGTCATCAGCTGCTCTGATCTTAGAGGTGTGTAAAAGCTTGAAACGGCTCAACATAAGAAACCCTAAGCTTGAGGAACAACTAGATTCTGATTAGCCCAGCTTTCCTTTATGAATTACCCACCGTTTTCTTTTTTCAGTGCAAAACTTACCTATAGAGAAACCCATATAAACTGCCTGCAGTGGAACACCTACTAGTTAACTTTATACTCACAGGTGATCATAAGAAAACAATCTCTCTCACTTTCCATCTCCCATTAATAAAATCTGTTGGTGAGTTTAAAAATTGCAGTTTTCAAAAACATGCAACCTTACCTGATTGTAGTGGGTTTCACAATAGGCCAGGCCTTTTCTCTCGTAATGACGATGACCCAGGAATGGCTTCTCACATTTTGCACAAACGAAATGCTATGAAGAAAATTAGGGATTGATTTTGGATTTCTTGTGAATAATGGTGGTTTTTTTTTGAGAAAGCAAACAAACAATCCCTACTGAACAGGACCAAAGCCTTCTGAGTCACTGTGCCATCTTGAAAATAAGAATTACCACTTGTTTTGTGCTTTACATCACTAAAATAACATTCCTTTTGCTGTCTCTTAACATTTCAACCCAAAACTTCCCAAAAAGAAAAAAAAATGCACTGAGGTGGTTCTGATATGTTATTAATGACAGAATAAAGTGAGATCAAATAATTTTCACCACTGTTACATCTTGTGAAGAAAGCACTTGCTGGAGGAGAATTTCACAACAAAGACTGCTTATCTTCATAACTTCAATGGAAGATTAAGAACTAAATCTTGCACATGGACTTGAAATAGGAACTGTCACCTAAACTGCTTTAGAAATATTTACACGGCCAGTAAATGGAAACCACAGAAATATTATAATGCCCACTAGTATTACGTTTGTCACAGAACTTGACGGCCTTTCTGTACCTCCTGCTTCTCACTTGGGGACATTTTCTTCTACATGGACCTTGCAAGGCTTCCTTGGACTGCTGATTTTAGCTCTGCAGGCAGAAGTCTTTTCTCAGTGGAAGATCAGGCACAAGAAGGTTGAAAATGGGGTTAGGAGATGCATTTGCTGACCACTGCTGCATACTTTTCTAATCCTTTCATGGAAACTGATCGGCGACATTCCAGTTAAGTAAGTTAACATTTACATTTGTGAAAGACAACGTGTCAGCTGATGTTTACCTCCACGTGCCACTGTTTGCCCATAGCATTCACCACACGTCCTTCAATTGGTCTTCTACATGCTCCACAGATGGGGACGCCCATTTTGTCATGGCAGGGTAAACAATACAATTCTCCCTTCAGCTCACGAGCATCAGCAGTAAGTTCCTTCCTGTTCAGAAATTCATTAATTGAGAGCATGAATAAAGGGACTGAACAAGTTCAACTCAAGAGCTTCTGTAGACATCATTTAATTTTGAGCACTTGTTTTAGGAACTGTATTTCTACTACAATAATGTATTCAGCAGCATCAAATATGCCAGTTCAATATGATTATTTTTTAAACAAGGCTGATAGATTCCACAGGAAACTAAGAAAAGCCTGCTATGTAGGATGCATCAAATCTCTCTGAAAATAGCTACTGAACTTTTCTCACACAGTTAGAAAGCTGTAGTCATGCCTGCCTTGCATTCTGCCTCTCTTCGCACCAGTATCTTTCTTGGATTTACATAAATGTAACTGAAAGGAAAATGTACTCCTCTGCATTTTCTCCATGATATCAAACATCAGAGAAAGAATAACATAAGCTGACAATAGCACTGGCACAATACTACTGTTGTTTTTCAAGTCAGCCTCTGCTATGATCCTGAAATGACAGCTTCCTTTGTAGTACAAAATAAACAACCAATAACGTGTGCTATATCCTACA